TAAAATTCTGTGTATAAAGGCTTCAGAAGACATGGACCAAACGATGTAGGAAAGCCTAAACTATTTATTACTTTGTATATATAAAATTGATCAAGTTTGAATCGTGACATTTTACCTTACATGAGGATGCTATAGATTATCATTTTCCTCTGAAAATTTTTATTCTAGTTGTTATTCACCTTAGCGAATTAGGACATCAATCTGCCAAGCAAACTTTGTGGATAGATTAAATCTTAGAACATCTCTAGTAATTTTTGGTACTACAAAGGACTTGTGAGAAGTGCCCAAGTGTATCCATCTCGAGTACCAACACCTAACTTGCTTGACAAAATTAGTTATAATAGTTTCAGCTAATTCACAATATTATCGTTCTTTTGATATCAATAACTTAATATTGATCAAATTCGACTTAAGTTTTTGCAAACAATCATTATTATGATCTGTGACATAATCCGCGAACAGATAATAACTTTGTTAATAGTGTTTGTAAACGTTTCGTATAAAATCCAATTTAATTTCTAGGAAAACCAATTTAAAGCAATGTTTTAACCACTCCCATATTTTTAAATCTGTTTTTCAGTATTTTTTGTACAACGCAGAAGACAGAAGGATGCTTCAAAGGCAACACAAAACACCCCTACGACGATTCTATGGACATGGACTTTCTTTCTGATCCAATTTTTTCGGATCTAGGTAAGTGTGCGATGATTCCATACCTACATATATACATATTTGAGCACGTATTTCGGTATGTCAATAGTAATATTTTCTAATAATAAATACAGTATTTATTATATAGGATAGAGTAAATATTAAATCAAATGACAAAGGGAGTTCCATCACAAAAGCAACTAATTTAACTATATTACAATATTATTAAATAAAATAGGTGTGCATTTAATATTAATAATATAAAGATACTCATATAGAGTGAAATGTTTGTATATAAAAGGCGTTTTCAAAACTACATACACCCAACTATTAATAAATCAGGTAAATAGTGAATTAATATTCACGTCAAAATCTATACAAATCATATTTACAAAAGTACATACATACATATTTAAATGTGTGTTTGAAACTAATATACACTATTTAAGAACACTGTGCGACAAAGAATTTTCTTATTTGAAATTCTAATAATTTTCTTGGTACAATGCGTAGTATGTACAAATCGTTGCCGACAATGGCAAACAAAAAATTGAGTATAAACGGAGATAGCCAATTTCAACTAAGCACACTTTTTCTTTGGAAATGGTTGAAATAAAGAAATTACTAAAAATCTGTAATTAACTAACTTGACCAACTTACAACAACACCTACTTTCCATAGCACGCCTCTTTGGTTTCCAACGGTTTATTTGACTTTAGTATAAATAATTGAAACGTTAGGTAAGATATCGCAATCTAATATAATATAAATTGGTCTTTGCTTTGGATCTGTTCCCATACCCATATATCGAACATGTTGACTTTCGGCCGTGCTGTTGACTTTAAAATATATGTTACATATATGCGTAGAAATATGAATATTTTTGGAAATTTATTCTAAATAAATCATAAGCATTCCACAACAAAGTTTAGTTTCTTATTCAGTTTCCTTTGATATCCATCATCAATGTTAACTGTAGAGTATTTATAACGAAACCTATTAATGTCTGTTCTACCTTACTTAACATTTCCTACAAATGAAGAAATTTTTATCGACGAAATATAAATATATACTTTTTTAATATCTGCTTTTTTTAGCAATTACTGAAGGAACTAGATAACTATTTTAACTATATAACTATTCCTTAGTTATTGTTGTAGCATCAAAAATTATCTCCATAATTTTAAAAACTGCTGATAACTTGACAGTGCTTAAATCTATCAGTAAAAATCTATGTAGATTCGTTCCACTTTCGTAAACCCGACTGCGAAGGAAAGCTTAGTACTCGTTACGAGACTTATGAGGCCAATCAATGATTGTGGATATATTTGAAAAAAAAAACAATATATTTATTTACTGTTCTTATCTCTCATTTGACAACTAGTATATTAGAATTCTCGTGCAGAACTAAACTTATGTCGATTGGACCAAATTTAGTTAGAAACGCCATTATTATGTAGTTTTTCATGAGTTACAAGTATTATATAATATTATTTCTCTGCCGTTAGAGAGTAGAGAGTGGGACTAGCAGTATTTACAACTTTCTTGCTGGGATAATATTAGAGACAGTCCACATTCATATGATTGGCTTTTTTTTTTTAGATTCCTTTTTATCTATTAATTATATAATCACTATTTATTAAATAACTAACATTTCAAGGTTATATATAGGAAAAATTATAGCCTAAAGCGATCGAAAAAGTTATAAAAATTTTAAGCAGAAAATAATGTTTCGTAATACAAAACGAATTCCAAGAGAAGTATTTGCTGAAATTATTCTACAACTTACCATACTTTTGACGCACAATGTACCCCGCTGAAAAATTTTGATTTACTTAAAATTATAGGTCTCATCATAAAGCTCACTTACTACCTTTCTAGCAATTTTGTAAATGTGTATAAAGGTTACAGAAGACATGGACCCAAACGATTCAAAAAGTCTTCTGAACATATTTTTACTTACTTGGTTTGATATTCTTTGGTGGATTTGTGTTTAACTTAATATGTAGAATATGAGGGTAGTTCCAAAGTTGCCCCTTTCAATAACTTTTTCAGGATAGTATGGTTTGATGTTCTTTGTTCAAAAATATTCACTGATCGGGGGATCATACCTAATTTGTTGCAGTTTCAAAAAACTGAAAAGGATACGTTAACAAGAGATTGAAGGAGAAGCTGTCTGAAATAACAATACGAACATTAATGTAAAAATTTGTTTAACGGAATATTCTCACAATAACATACAGATTACCCTTTACACAATATTTGGTCCATATGTGATACACCGAACGGATACTGTATTTCTTCAATCACCGAACTTTCGTTGGGATTTGTGTAATTTTCTGGAACAATTATGTCACTTTTCTGTCTGTAAGCTATTTATCTAGACACCACTTACGATCTCTCCTAAGACTCAGAAGATCAATATATATCATAAGATATCAATTGAACTTGAGCATTTCAGGTGAAAGAATATTAAAAACAAACTCATTTTTTTTACAGAGCTTTTTTATCCCCAAAAAATTACTGAGAACACAACTTTGGTGAATCATATCATTTTATAACCCAGTTAGGATCTTATAAGGACAACCCTCATATCAATATCTTAGAGTTGAATTATTGTAAAACTGTGCATTAATTTTCATTAAGTCATTTTTGGTTAGAGACGCACAGTAACTATGTTTCTTAGCCCCTGTACGATGATGGGGGTGTGACAATCACTAAGATGTCTTAACGTGCGAGCGACCTCACCTCACCAGGCAACACTTTCTCTTATAAAAAAAAATTTTAGCTGTTGATTTATTAAAAAAATTTAAAATTGCTTATATGCGGTTTAGGGTGAGTCCTTGAGTTTATATACGATATAATCATTTTTGGTCACATTTTTCATATGGCTGTATTTTATAGTTGTGTTCTAGGCAACAACATAGTTTTCATGTGTTAAATGATTATAAAATTTTAGATTTTGCTTCATAAACCTCTATATAATCTAAATTATGTATATAATATCTCCAAAGCCACGGTAGAGTGCGAAAGGATCTGCCGATTATCTAGTGCGGCAGAGAACGTGATCTGAGTGAGTTTCCAATTATTTTAAGAATGCACGTAACTCGAACATTCAATTATTTTCTGAATTTCAGGGTTGTTCTCATCCTGGCAGTAGATGGTTTTACCATATACATTAGGGTGGAGCGAAAAAAACATTTTTTTTTTGCTTAGCCTGAGGATAAAATTTGTAGATTATAAAAAAGAAAATTTTTGGAAAAATTAAATTAAAATTTGTAGATTATAAAAAAGAAAATTTTTGGAAAAAAATTGTTTTTTTTTTTACATCTATAGGGGCCGCTTTTCTCACTCACTTTTAAAAGTGAAGAGTTTAAACCAAAAAATATTTTTTTTGTCCAAAAAAATTTTTAACTCGAAATTTACTAGATGTTAAAAAAAAAATTTTTTTTTCAAAAATTTTCTTTTTTATAATCTACAAATTCTACCCTCAGGCAATTATTTTTTTTCGCTCCATCCTAATATACATATGATTAGAATCGCCCAAGAATGGCTGATTTTTATGTTGAGACCTTATAAGAGTCATACAAGTATTGTATAATATGCTTGAAAATGATTGAGAGCTCCGGATACCGTTATATTGAAAATGGTCCAGATGGTGGTTTAACTGCGACCACTTTCAAAATAAATCTTACCTATCTAAACTCCATGAAGACTAATCGGTTGCAGGTCTGAGATAAATGAATATACTCTCTTTTGTATACTTTTTATTGTGTAATTTATATATATCGAGGCCTTATGTTCCACCCAGTTACTATAGGGAAAAAATATATAATATTGCGTTGTGTGCTGCTGGGATGTTGCATAAAATAAATAAAATCTTTGATGATTAAATTTAAATTTGGTTTACTGTACCTTATCGTTAAGTATTGACTTGCTCTTGACTTAGACAGACCTTCTCAAAAGCACATCAACAAACATATTTTTTCACTTTCAACATTTTCGCTTGTTTGTTTAATATTTATTGAAAAACAATTACGACTCGAAAGGGAAAATTGAATTCCAGTATTATTTAAAAGTAAGTGGGTGTTTATTTTTACTATCTATATATGCATGTACGGAATTTTCACATAATTTCCTGATAAGCAATCATTAATTGTTTACGAGTATTCCTATTTTTCGCTAGTTTTTCGCGTGGCAGTAGTTCTAGGAAATGTTGTTTGATTGTTGATGATAAACAAGTGAATGAATGATTCATTCTCATGGTATATACTATACCATACAGTAGTATTATACATATATGTAACTGTGAGATTTTCGAATTTTATTTTAAAATAATTTTCAGTTGAAAATCACATACTGAGCAATGTATACGAGTTGGGATCAAGAGAAGAGACAGAAGTCATAATAAAATTCTGTGTATAAAGGTTACAGAAGACATGGACCAAACGATGTAGGAAAGCCTAAACTATTTATTACTTCGTATATATAAAATTTATCAAATTTGAATCGTGACATTTTACCTTGCATGAGGATGCTATAGATTATCATTTTCCTCTGAAAATTTTTATTCTAGTTGTTATTCACCTTAGCGAATTAGGACATCAATCTGCCAAGCAAACTTTGTGGATAGATTAAATCTTAGAACATCTCTAGTAATTTTTGGTACTACAAAGGACTTGTGAGAAGTGCCCAAGTGTATCCATCTCGAGTATCAATACCTAACCTGCTCGACAAAATTATAAAATTTTTTGTATACTTGCGTTTTATGGGCGTGACGGTTTCCGCTAATTCACAATATTATCGTTCTTTTGATATCTATCACTTAATATTGAACGAATTCGACTTAAGTTATTGCAAACAATCATTATTATGATCTGTGACATAATCCGCGAACAGATAATAACTTTGTTAATAGTGTTTGTAAACGTTTCGTATAAAATCCAATTTAATTTCTAGGAAAACCAATTTAAAGCAATGTTTTAACCACTCCCATATTTTTAAATCTGTTTTTCAGTATTTTTTGTACAACGCAGAAGACAGAAGGATGCTTCAAAGGCAACACAAAACACCCCTACGACGATTCTATGGACATGGACTTTCTTTCTGATCCAATTTTTTCGGATCTAGGTGAGTGTGCGATGATTCCATACCTACATATATACATATTTGAGCACGTATTTCGGTATGTCAATAGTAATATTTTCTAATAATAAATACAGTATTTATTATATAGGATAGAGTAAATATTAAATCAAATGACAAAGGGAGTTCCATCACAAAAGCAACTAATTTAACTATATTACAATATTATTAAATAAAATAGGTGTGCCTTTAATATTAATAATATAAAGATACTCATATAGAGTGAAATGTTTGTATATAAAAGGCGTTTTCAAAACTACATACACCCAACTATTAAAAAATCAGGTAAATAGTGAATTAATATTCACGTGAAAATCTATACGAATCATATTTACAAAAGTACATACATACATATTTAAATGTGTGTTTGAAACTAATATACACTATTTAAGAACACTGTGCGACAAAGAATTTTCTTATTTGTAATTCTAATAATTTTCTTGGTACAATGCGTAGTATGTACAAATCGTTGCCGACAAAAAATTGAGTATAAACGGAGATAGCCAATTTCAACTAAGCACACTTTTTCTTTGGAAATGGTTGAAATAAAGAAATTACTAAAAATCTGTAATCAACTAACTTTACCAACTTTCAACAACACCTACTTTCCATAGCACGCCTCTTTGGTTACCAACGGTTTATTTGACTTTAGTATAAATAATTGAAACGTTAGGTAAGATATCGCAATCTAATATTATATAATATAAATTGGTCTTTGCTTTGGATCTGTTCCCATACCCATATATCGAATAGGTTGACTTTCGGCCGTGCTCTTGACTTTAAAATAAATGTTGGATATATGCGTAGAAATATGAATATTTTTGGAAATTTATTCTAAATAAATCATAAGCATTCCACAACAAAGCTTAGTTCCTTATTCAGTTTCCTTTGATACCCATCATCAATGTTAACTGTAGAGTATTTATAACGAAACCTATTAATGTCTGTTCTACCTTACTTAACATTTCCTATAGATATTACAAATGAAGAAAATGATAAACGGTTATACAACCTAATTTTTTATCGACCAAATATAAATATATACTTTTTTAATATCTGCTTTTTTTTAGCAATTACTGAAGGAACTAAATAACTATTTTAATTATATAACTATTCCTTAGTTATTTTTGTAGCGTCAAAAATTATCTCCATAATTTTAAGAACTGCTGATAACTTGACAGTGCTTAAATCTATCAGTAAAAATCTATGTAGATTCGTTCCACTTTCGTAAATCCGACTGCGAAGGAAACGGGATATTTTCCAGGCGAAAGCTTAGTACTCGTTACGAGACTTATGAGGCCAATCAATGATTGTGGATATATTTGAAAAAAAAACAATATATTTAAAATTAAAAAAAAAACTGTTCTTATCTCTCATTTGACACCTAGTATATTAGAATTCTCGTGCAGAACTAAACGAAATTATTATGTAGTTTTTCATGAGTTATTGTATTATTTCTCTGTCGTTAGAGAGTGGGACTAGCAGTATTTACAACTTTCTTGCTGGGATAATATTGGAGACAGTCCACATTCATATGATTGGCTTATTTTAGATTCCTTTTTATCTATTAATTATATAATCACTATTTATTAAATAACTAATATTTCAAGGTTATATATAGGAAAAATTATAGCCTAAAGCGATCGAAAAAATTATAAAAATTTTAAGCAGAAAATTAATGTTTTGTAATACAAAAAGAATTCCAAGAGAAGTATTTGCTGAAATTATTCTACAACTTACCATACTTTTGACGCACAGTGTATCCCGCTGAAAAATTTTGATTTACTTAAAATTATAGGTCTCATCATAAAGCTCACTTACTACCTTTCTAGCAATTTTGTAAATATTAACACACACATAATATATATATATATATTATATATATGATTACTAATATATTTTAAAAAATGATATTAGACCAAAAAAATATTACATACTTTCATATATCTATTTGTATAGCTGAATGTACATATGAGTTTATACAGTTATTTCTATCTATAACAATCTTGTGCCTACCATAAAAGCCTTTCTTTATTTTATTGTTTGTAAGTTAGCCGAAAAGCTGTTTGATCAATATTTGTGCACCGCAAGCGTTTAAGAAATAACATGGCTTAGCGACTAGAATTTTCTGCATACAAATTCAGTAGTTGACATAACGTGTTAATGGTAGTGCCATTGGACATGCGATAGGGTTACAAGAAGTCAGTGCTGTGACGCACAAGTTAAAACAAAAAAAGTAAAAAAAAAAACAAACACGCCCGCAATTCATTTTATGCAAAATTATTTTAATAAAATAGCCATAACGGTATAAACAAAAAATTATAAATTAAAAAATGTATATATTTTTGTAGCTATATGGAGCTTGAAGCCATTATAAACACAGTTAAAATAACAGAAACGTTTGTAAAACTGTTTTTTTGTGCGAAATTACACAATTGCTAAAACAATAATAACAAATGCGTTGACTGTTAATTAAATAATTCGCTAGCAAATAGAAAAATATGTAACAATAAACCAAAGCCAATACTTTGAAAGTATTAAAAAAAAAATGAAGTAATTATAATAAAAACATATTACAAATGTGCTGAAACAATAAAAGATACAAATAAAAAACAAAAAGTATTAACATTAATTGCATAGCTGAGTGATTGGTCAGCGCTGCACAAACCAGTAACTATTATATAACTATAAAGTATAAATATAATCTTAAAAACATATATATGTTAAAAATATATAAATATATATATTAAAAATATATACATATATATATATACATATATATATATAAATACATATGTTATTCGGAATCGCAAATCATACATGACCTTCCATTCAGCTTGCCACGGCCGTGCCAGCGCTCTATCCATAGCGGAATCGGCTTGTAATCGGAACTTGTTGTTACACCCAGCGTTCAAAAGAATTCCCATTCACGCCTGCAAGTGTATTATGCTTTTCTAATGACTCCATTTGTAATGCCTGGCGCGACCAGTGAACGTGAACCAGCATTTCGCGTATCGACAGTGAATTGCAACGAATCGGGTTGCAGTTTGGCAAATTAGATTTCGAATTTTCAGTTTCATTTTTGATTCTGTGTATTTATGCGTTTACATATGCACATATGGCATCATTCGTTTTATTCTGATAGTTCTACTTGTCTAATACAGTGTGTGTGTAGGTGAGAATATTGTATTTGTTATGGCGTAAAATTTCACTTCCGAAAAAGCGTTAGGTGTCGCTTTTAAATTCGCACGAGAAACATACATACATACATATGTGCTCATCGATCAAATAGTTTACCAAGAATACCGGTACCGTTAGTTCCTTTAGTTTAACATACCGTAAGGGGACCTTGATACCAAACCACTATTCTGTGAATCCAACTTGCTTACTTGAAAAATCGCTTAGAACACCAGCCGATCTTAGTTTTGACTATGTAGAACTACAAATTTGAGGTCTTGAGGAGTTTTTGTCTGTCCAGGAAGACAGCTATCGGAAGAAACTTTTTTGATGTGACGAGAAAAAACTTTTCAAAATATCCGTACGAGGCAAGTAACACATTTTGGAAATCCGGAGGATAAATTTGTTGTGTATTATTACATCAAAATCACATTGTGTAGGAAAACTAATAATTCATAATAGGTTGTGACTCTGGAACTATATACAGAAACATTTTTTTTTCAAAAAACTTACGAATCACTTAATTTTGGATATTTTTATACAAGATGGAGGAAATCAAGATCATCGATCTGATGCGAACATTTATCGCCCGATCTGAGATGGAAGATAGATAAGCTTCAAGGATTGAATGACCAAAAAGTAGAAACTGTATTTCAATGAGCCATTGAGCTCTGTTCTTTGCACCGAGGTCATTAGAGTAGTATATTACTGGACGTATAGCTCAAGCATATTCAAATAGGTTATCAAAACCTTAAACTCCGCGATAAAATACGTACGTTTGCATAATACATAGCAAGATTTGAAAAGAGAGAGATAGAGAGAGTATGATTTATGGAACTTTTTTAGATTTTCACAAATGAAACTTTTAGACTATTTTTGAAGCTTATCTTTTCATCGGAGGATTTTTGTTTATAATTGGTAAAGTAAGTGGTCTTCTTATATAGATAGATAGATATTATATAGACAGATTTACAATTTTGTGCGGAAGCATTTAAAAAGTCTAGTCGGGAAAATGTTCGCAATTCCTTCGCGACATCACCTAACACCTTTCCGATGTTCAATGTACGACGAAAGGAATTCCAAGAATAATTGTACTACTTTTTACGAGCTTTATTTACAAATTATGGGTAGTTATACCCTAAACAGGGTATATTAAGTTTGCCACGATGATTGTAATACCCAGAAGGAAACGTCAAAGACCCTGTAATACATATATATACATATATACTTGTATATATATGTATATACATATATTTAAATAATCGGCGTGATGAGCTGAGTCGATTTCCAACGACGACAAACAACTCTACAATCTCTGAAGAAATTGTGCAGATCGGACCACTACAGCATATATGTACATAACTGTCACTCAAACTGATCGATAAAAATCAAGATAAAAATCTTCTTTTATAACCGTTTATGTTATAAAAAGATGCAGCTTCGGCGCAGCTGAAGTTAACGTTTTTTCTTGTTTTTTTTTCATAAAACAATACATGTAAATAAAAATTTAAGGTTAGATTAGTTTAAAATAGCGAATATTATTTGCCTTAAAAAACTCGGACCACCCACGAACACCCTGTATAAACAAAAATACACCCGCCTCACATTGGCAGTGACCATGACCATGATGTGGCACGTACGTATGTATGTATAAGTCGCATGTGTGGCAAGCACTCAAGAGTGACGTATGACGAATGGGTTGAGCGCATTAACCGAAAGAAGTGCAACATTTTTCTATGATACGTTTTTTGTTTTTGCTTTTTTGCCACCTGCCAGCCATTGATAGCTTTAACGCAACAGTAATTATG